ACATGTCGACATGTGCTAGCGTTTATAAACCTCCCACTAGCGGGCACAGTAATCAGTAATCATGACTATATCCGAGACAAAACCATGCAGAGTTTACAGAAAAACCCGAATTTCACAATCAATCTCGAATTTCAAAAATAACCAGAAAATTCCATGTGGCCATGGATTTATCAGAAAACTCAGAATTTGCAAACTCTCAGTTCATCAAAACAGTTCAGTCAATTCCAAATAGGCATGCTCAACTCCATGCAACAAAAACAATTTCGTTCCAATCATGCTCAATTCCAGAAAACAATAAAATCCTCATTTTCATGCTAATCACGCTCAATTCCCGAAAACAATGAAAGTCCCATAAAATCATCACGATTTCCATTTCATTTTAATCACACTCAAATACTGATAAAACAATTGAAAACATGCTTTAAAATCGAAGGGCTTTACCATGATTTACTTACCTCACTCACACAGAACAGAAGGCTAACCCAAGTGCTACGGTGACGGAACGATCAAAACCTAATCACAATATTCCACAATTGATAACCATACCACCACAATTTTACAGTGAAATCGTCTTTAGCACTACCCCTAGTCACAGTGCTATTTCTATCAATCTTCACATAATCGGACATCTCCAAATTCATTCTTATATCACAAACTAATCGTTTAAATCCCCGTTAATTATTGACCCTCGGTGTGTGAACAGTGCCTATGAACAGTACCCCGTGAACAGTAACTTCAACTTCCAAAATTGGCAAAACATAGCTAATTCACGGGGTTTCTCTCCAAAATCTCACAACAATCATAACAAGCTAATTTTCTACTTAAACCACACTTAAAACATAGCTTTAAGCTACCAAAATTCATTCCAATTTCCCGGACAAGCAATGGAGACCCACGGCTTTGGCCAACAATGGCTAAGTCACGGGATTATTCCTACACAACATCACAACAATCAAGTAATACTCAAGCACATAAATCCCACTTGAATTAATGCTTAATCATTGTCTAATTACTATCAAATTTCTCCCCTATTTTAGCAAAATTCGGGCAAACACAGGGCAGCACTTAATGGACAAAACCCAACAATTAAATGGGTAATTTTAAGCTTGGAAAAGCCGGCAACTTACCAGAATTCCAGCCAGCAGAACCCGAGCTTGGCTGGTGAGGAAGCCGACGGGATCCAGGGGGGAAACTCACGGCACAATCCAGAAATTCAAGAACCAATAACAAAATTAGAGTAACCCAAGCCAAATGAAGAGAGAAAGGATGAATTCAAGGCTGCTTCTTACCAGAAAAAGCCGAAGGATTCAAACCCAGCAGAACCCGACGGACAAGGGAGGAAGAAGCAGAGCAGATCCGGGATTTCTGGGTTGAGAGGGAATATTCTAAGCTCCAAATCTTGTTACTTATCAAGAAAAGAAGGAGAAAATCCCAAGCTTGGTCACCAATTTTCTCAAAGAAATGAGTCGGTGGCTAGAGGGGCTTGGAGGGGGCTGTCGGGAGGAAGAGTCGAGAAGAAGAAGAAGAAGAAGATGAGGAAGAGCAAAACACGTGGCTGAAGAGAGAAATATCAGCCTTGATCCTTATCCTAATTTCCTTTCTTTTTAGTCCCTGACCTTTTTAAAATTTTACGATTAAGCCCCAAAATAAAATTTTCCCTCAAATAAATCCCCAATTTAATGCTAAAATACCCCAAAATTTTGGGATATTACATTAATCATATCATAATCTGATACCACCAAAATCTGAAGATAAAATCTTTAAAATTTACTCTAATATCATAAATCTCCAATAAAATCGAGTTTACAAGATCATGATTTATTTCTAAAATCTATATCAATCTTGAAAGGGCTAGCCTTCTAACTCGTCACTTCCCGTGGTTTCCCAATCCTCGGTTTCGCTTCCTGAAATGGTGGGCAAGGAAAAACCATGAGATAAACTCAGTAAGTAAAATATGGAGTGCCTTTAATTAAACTTATAGCATGCCAACAAATGTAATCACGAAAATGGATACAGTATGGGAACGAAATAAACGTCTCCTCTATAGGTCATGGCCAGTATTATAAATCTCCCACTGACAGACACGATTTACTACTGTATAATCCCACTAACAGGATAATAGAAATGAACCGGTTCTATCAGTAATATGTCGACATGTGCTAGCATTTATAAACCTCCCACCAGCGGGCACAAGAATAACATGACCATATCAGAGACAAAATAGGCAAAAGTTAACAAAAAATCATACTTTACCAATCACTTTTAGATCATCAGGACAATCAATTAAATTTCAAGTAGGCATGCTCAATTTAATGAAAAACACAAAAATTTCACTTCAAATCAGTCATACTTGTATAAAACGGATTTAGTCCCGCCACCACTTCAAAAACAAGTCAAAACATACTTTTAAAAACTGTACGGGCATTACCATAAATTTACTTACCTCACTCGCATAAAACCGAAAACTCGACCTTAGTGCTAAATTGACAAAACGATCAGGAACCTAATCAAAATATCCAAGAATTAATTACCGCACCACGGATTCAAAAGTAAAATCACCATGACTATCCCCTAATCACGGTGCTATTCCTATCAATCTCCACATTATCAAATATTTCCAAATTTATTCTTATATTACAAACTAATCATTTGATCCCCGTTAATTGTTGACCCTCGGTGTGTGAACAGTAATATGTGAACAGTACCCTGGATATTTCATCAGATTTTTCAGAGCAGAAAATGGACTGAAAAGGAGCAGAAAACAGTAGCAAATTGCAGAATTTCTGCGTGAACAGTGACTGGCACTCGTGAACAGTTGCTGCACTTTCACAAATTGGCCAAAACCTAGCTAATCTCACGGGATTTTTCTCCAAAAATCACAGCAACTAATCAAGCTAATTTCTCTACCTAAACCAAGCTTCAAACATAACTTAATGCTGCCAAAATTCATCCCCAATTTCAACAGAAATTCCCGCACAGTACAAGGGCAAATCAAAGGTAGAAAATTCAAGATTCAAGGCAGCAAATTAACGGACAAATTCGGGGTTGGAGGGCTGTCACATACCGGAATTTAACAAGCAAAATCGGAGCTGCAGTTGGGGAAGAGCTGGCGGGAATTTGGAGAAGAATCTCACGGCCTACCTCAAAATTGAAGGAACCAAGAGCAATTAAGGTAAACCCAAGGCAGTTCAAAGCTAGAGAAGGGACATTCATGGCTGTTTCTTACCAGCAACCAGGCCAATTCGCCTCCATAAGGCAGGAGCAGCCGGTGGTGAAGAAGCAGAGCAAGGCAGATCCGGAAGCTTTCCTGCAGGGGGAAGATTTCTAAGCTCCAAATCTAGTTCTTGGACAAGAAAAGAAGGGAAAAACCAAGCTCCTTACCGGTTTCTCAAAGGCTGGTGCCGGCGGCTTGGGGGGCGCTTTCGGGTGGCTGCAACGGGGAAGAAGAAAAAGAGCAAAACACGTAAATGGCTGAGGGGAAAAAGAAGAAATATTAGCTGGATCCTTATCCAATTTCTTTCCCTTTTAAGCCCCTCAATTTTGGAATTTCGATTATTAAGCCCTACAACAATATTTTTCTACAATTTAATCCTTAACTTAATGCTAAAATACCACAAAATTTTGGGGTATTACAACTACAATGTCCATTAGCACAAGGAGGGTAAGGGGGCCATTCTTCTTCCATATTTGGATCTTTTTGTTCTTTCTTCTCCTTTTTCTTTCCTTGAATTGTGTCCTCTTTCTTCCTTTTGCTTGGATTTATATATGTGCAGTGTTTTTATTTCTTTTCCAGGAAAAGGAATAAACTAATTTATATATGGAATGTAATCCCAACATTCTCTATAATTAAGAAAAAAAAATCATAAATTTAAAATTAAGGTAATTCTTAC